CACACTCCAAATGAACTTTAAGAATAATAACCAAATAGAGATCAGAACAACTCTAATTACCTCTTTTAAGCAAAGGATACTGAATTCAGCTCAATACGCATTTGTTGACTGCTTACTGATTGCCCATAAGACTCTGATATAGACACTGATATATAAATATATAAATAGACACTGGTATTCTGGACTTATTTTCCTGCTCTCTAGAAATATACCATTATAACACACACACACACACACACACACACACACACACACCTAAAATTAGTACTATGGAAGAAGCTTAGCTGTGAAGGCAAAGGCAGAGACAGGATAATACAACAGGATGGAGTTTATGGCAGAGGGAAGGTCCTTTCTTTTAAACAGAAGAGAATTAGAATAACTTATGGAGAATATTAACTGAGATTTAGGAGGGAGACTCATTCATTCTATCATGCATCAGATCCCTTGTTCTTTCTAGGTTCTATCAAGACTTTTCAGAGCTCATCTTCTAGGGAAGCGCATTGGGATACAGGACAACAGTCCCAGGCACTGCCCAATATAACTCGATATTCATCAGGCACTCCAGCAGGTGGAGTGAGCCTTGAACAGTGAATACATATACTAACACGTTGGAGGACTCAGAAAGGAAAGCATAGTTAAGGGTATTATCTAACTGCATTTAAAAGAAAAAAAAAAAAAACTGTTGACAATTTTCTCAGTGATATAAGAGAAAAGCCTGTTTTTGAAGAATGGTGATCTTTTGGGGGAAAAAACTAGAGAATAATGGAGGAAAATAACTGGGGTTGTACAGGATTACTACAGGGATAAAGCAATTGTGGCTGAGGCAATTATACTGTAGTGTGATTTTTCACCTGGATGTGTGATTTTTCTGCAGAAAAACTGATCAGCCTATGTCGGCCCATGAGCACCTGCAGGGCTGGACGGAACAAGAGCTGGAGTGCAGTGTTGGGGCTGCTGAAGAACAGGGCCCCAAGATGCTGAGATTCCTTGTCCAAAGAGTAGGTGATATACATGGATTCTGGGGGCTAGACTGGACACGGACTGTACTGTCAGTGGGAGCCTGACTCCATGGAGGAAAGGCATAGCACAGGGACCAGAGTTCTCCGCCTACTCAGAGCGGATGAAGGGGCAGTGACAGTGCGACGGAAGGGCAGAACGCAGCAGGCAACACTGATGATGGAGGAAGGGCTGGAAAGTGAACAGAAAGCTCTTTCTAGGCATAGTAAAACTCTCACTTTCTCTAAAAAGCAAAACTTTCTTTCGAATTCTTACAGCTCTGACTATACATAACACTAATATCATGCTCCAGACTGCACTCCAAGGGCAGAAACTAAATTTGTTCTGCTCATGGCTATAGATCCCCCCCAAAATATTCACACAGTAAGGCAGAGCCAGTAAATAACTTGTAAATGAACTAACCAATGAACAGAATCTGAATTCAGCTGTTCAGCTCTGAATGTGTCTGCCTTTGTCAACACTGGGGTCATAAGCTTCTTTGAGGACAAAAGTGGTCTCTCATCCTTTTTCTGTATCCCTGTATCTAACAAGTATTTCAAGCAGTAGACACACAATCTCCACCACCACAAAAACCACAACAAAATGTTAAACAAGTATATTACTGAGGGGAAAGAGTTGCCTTCCTCAAATTTCCCTCAGTTGCTGATCCATTATCTACAAAGTTCTGTAATGTGCCATTGTACAATGGAAGGACAAGTGACTAGACATAATATTTCCCTCTACTTAACAATTAAAAGAATCATTTAAAACATGCATTCTCACCCTGTTCATCAATAATATGCTATACAAATTCTACTTTAATATAGACCAAAATCCTTAAAGGCAATAAAAATATCTTCATATTTTATATGATTAATATGCTACATATATAATGTTCACCCAGTAAGTCATTACTGACTGGTTGAATTAACCACTTGACAACTTCCCCAAGGAATTCAGTTCTAAATTAGTGGCTATTTGTTTCCACTTCCTTCATTATTATTTTTGCATATCTTATTTTTATATATTTTTAGAATTCTTCTACACTGCTCCATTTATTAAAAATGAAATTCCCATTTTATTTATTGTCCAGAAATCTTTCAAAGCACCTTCTCCTATTAAAGAGTTAATCTTCCCTCACACCATCATCCATCCCCAATATTTAAAAAAAAAAAAAATCAAAAGTTAGGAGCTGTTATTCCAAGTTTAGCCACTTCTTTTTTGTGACTTACTGGCATGAAAATTTGTAGGAAACCTAATGGGTGTCAAAGATAATCCTCAGACTGTGTCTATAAACAAATGCTACTTCTGGATAGTTTCTATCATAAATGAACCAAGTCACTTAGACAGTCATGTGAACTGTGGGCCTGGAAACCCACAACCCAGTCCAGTATCCTTGCCTGGAAAATCCCCTGGACAGAGGAGCCCGGTGGGCTACAGGTCTTGGGGTCACAAAGAGTTAGGCACGACTAAAGCACCAAGCGTGCACATGAAGTGCAGGGGTTTCTCTCCAGGAATATTCATCAGATTCATAACCCCAACACACAGATACTTAAAAAAAAAAGAAGCTCTTGTCACATCATGTCACATCACACCAATGTAATTTACAACAACAGACACCTAAGGAATCACCTTTCCTCCTCTCAACTACAGGGGACTTTAAAAACAAACTAAACAAACAAAAAAAACAACTCTATCCTAGAGATTCTAACTTAGTTGGTCTGGGCTGGGGTCCAGGTATTCAAGCCTTAAAAGCTCTCTAGGTGATTCTAGTGTACAGTCAGGGCTCAGAACCACCATCTCTCAAGTTTCTCTCTCTGCAATTTCACAGCACACTGCTGCACAAAACTTTCAAAAAGGCCCAAAGACCTACTGATGAGATCCAAATTCTTTGACCTGGTACTCAAAGGTCTCCACAGTGTGGTTGGCTCTGGTTCCACGTCTCCTACTCCAACCGAATTGGTTTAATCATAATCCCTTAAACACATCATTTACATCATTTATAATTCTAGATTCTAGTCCTACAATTGTTTGGAGCAAGGAGAGGATCACACTTCCAACTGGAAACAAACTCTCCTACACTTTGCTATTTCAGCTGCAGTTGAGGATTCTGTGTCCACACAAATTACCAAGTGCTCTCTGTGAAATCCCGGGGACATTCATGGCCTGTAGAACTTATTTGGTTGTATAGCTACCACCTTGTACTATAATTTATCTTTGTACATATTTCTACTCCTCAACTAGATTAGAAGCTTTGGGGATCATCAAGAGAGCTACACAGGATGCATGTGAGTGCTCAGTCCTGACTGGCTCTTTGTGACCCCATGGACTGTAGTCCGCCAGGCTCCTCTGTCCATGGGATTCTCCAGGCAAGAATACTGGAGATCATTTTCCAGGGGATCTTCCCCCGGGATCGAACCCACATCTCTTGTGCACCTCCAGCATTGGCAGGTGGATTTTCTACCACTAAGCCACAGGGAAGCCACAAAGGACTGTATACCTAGAGCTTACTCAAATACACAATAAATGCCTGCTGTCATTAATGATAAAAAGGAAACTCATTTAGGCACATAAAACTAAACTTGTTCAAAATAAGTCATCTTTTTTCTCTACAATTTACCCAGCCAATTTTCCTTTTATGACCCAAGTATTCACAAAAACTACATTTTTCAAGAGCTTTTTCTCATACTACAATTTACTAATCGATGTACACGCCTAGAGTTACTGGCAACTTTTACTAACTTTAAATACCTGACACTTTTGAAAACTTTTTTCCACTGAATTATAAGAATTGAAAAAGGTAACAAACATTATCCTTTTTCAAGTATTTCATATATTTTCTCAGGTATACCGTATATTAACATGGCAGGTTTCTTCTTTTCTTTTTTCCCAGTCATCTCTTAGTAGTTCCAGAACCAGAAAATGCTGTTTTATAGGCTCTGTGCTCTAACAGCCCACTGTAAATTCCCGTGCCTAATTTGTTCTGCTGCTTACTGAAACTACTTCCTAGGCCAAAAGTCAAGAACAAATGCTAAGTCACCAGGTGTTACTACACTCTACCGTCTTACCAGTGGAACAAGGGTCAGATAAGAAATGTTCTGGGTAAAACGGCCTTTGACTCCGAAGATCCACATCACGGCCTTTAACAAAAATGACGTGTGTGTTTACCTCTGTAACTCACTGTTACCAGGCTAACACGATTATTATCAGTGTGTTTTGCGTGCAACACTCTTCAAACTTCACTTCTGAAGAAACTAACATTAGGTCCAGTAGACAGAAGTCGAAGGCAGACTTCAGCAACTCTGGAAACTCAGCAATTGCCATAACCGCACTCAGTAACACTACAAAAAAACTCCTCACTGCGTTGGCACCTGTACATACCTCACCCCTAGTTCTCCACTATTGCATCTAAACCTACCATCCATAACTTGAGACAGAACCAAACTTAAGGAACCCAGTAGGATCTGGAACAAATGGTGGTGTTTCCACTTGACACCACCTCCAAAGACCCCTCCATACACCCTGCTCTCTGTCTCAGATTCCAGAGACAAGAGGCCAGTCCGGTTTCCCCCCACGCCCCTGCGCCCAGCACCGCCAGTTCTAGGGTCCCGGAACTTCGAATCTCAGCCCTCTTCTTACCCAGGCCTGCACGCCTCATCCTGCCAGAGAAGTGGGGGGAAAGGCGGGCGGAGGGGTGGGTAGGAAGAGGCCAGGGGCCACCTGGACCGCGTCCTCAGGACCAGGCCCCGGCGAAACAGCAACTTCTTCCTCCAGTGCGCCACGACATCAGTAGAGTCTAAACACCGCGCTGGATGATGACGTCACCCAAGGCGCTTACTGGCGCCCTGCGAAGCGGCTTGAATGGCATTCTGGGAAATATAGTTCGCCGCCGAGGCCGAGCACGAGGCCGGGACTTGGGGTGAACGGGTGAGGAAGTGGGCGGGGCTTCCGGCAAAGGGGCGCGTGCTGCTTCAGCTGCCACTCAGGACCTGGGACTCAGACTCCGGACCTGGGACGCTGGATCTCGACTCCTGGACTGGCTCTTTCTCTCCGCTGCCGGACCCCGAATTTAAATCAGTACATCTGTCCTCCCCAGGCCATAAAAGGATGGTTAACTTCTCTTTCCAGATTCCTCCTCTCACTGCCTGTCACCACGAGTTAGTTCAGGTAAAGTCAAAGAAAACTTTATCCAAGTTTCTGGTCTCACACATAAGTCATCTGAGACCCATTGAAGGGACGGAAGAGGGGTAGCCAGTTGGTGCCCGGGTCACCTGGTGGTGTAGAGTAAAACCAAGCCCCTCGTACTAGGATCCTGCTCCATTGAACTAGTCGATCAGAATAACTGGGTCTCCTCAGAGGCAGTGGAGACTTCATTTCCGTTACTGAGTTGGTTGCATTTCTAGAAAGACGCACAGCTATTAGTTAAGGAACCGAAGGACCTCTAAACTTCCCCCTACTTAGATCTTTTAAACTTACACAAAGGATACCAAAATACTGTTTACACATGGTAAGGTGCCAATTTAAAGAGTTTATAAGCTTGTTGGTGGAGCTATAGGAGTACTGGAATAGCGGTTATTCCTAGAATTTCATTGTACCTCGTAGGATTATGGTGAGGGTTGAATGAGGAATTAAAAAAAAGAATCTGATACACAGTAGATGAACAAAAGCCATTGGATCATTGCAGTTCCGTCCTTGCTGCTGTATGACACTTAGATAATCTCTATACTAGAGATTTCTGAGAAGGCAATCTCTGGTCACTTCAGTCAGTTCAGTTCAGTCGCTCAGTCGTGTCCCACTCTTTGCGACCCCATGAATTGCAGCACGCCAGGCCTCCCTGTCCATCACCAGCTCCCGGAGGCCACCCAAACCTATGTCCATTGACTCAGTGATGCCATCCAGCCATCTCATCCTCTGTTGTCCCCTTCTCCTGCCCTCAATCTTTACCAGCATCAGGGTCTTTTCAAATGAGTCAGCTCTTCACATCAGGTGGCCAAAGTATTGGAGTTTCAGCGTCAATATCAGTCCTTCCAGTGAACACCCAGGACTGATCTCCTTCAGGATGGGCTGGTTGGATCTCCCTGCAGTCCAAGGGACTCTCAAGAGTCTTCTCCAACACCATAGTTCAAAGCATCAATTCTTCGGCGCTCAGTTTTCTTCACAGTCCAACTTTCACATCCATACATGACCACTGGAAAAACCATAGCCTTGACTAGATGGACCTTTGTTGACAAAGTAATGTCTCTGCTTTTTAATATGCTTTCTAGGTTAGTCATAACTTTCCTTCCAAGGAGCAAGCGTCTCTTAATTTCATGGCTGCAATCACCATCTGTAGTGATTTTGGAGCCCCCCAAAATAAAGTCAGCCACTGTTTCCACTGTTTCCCCGTCTATTTGCCATGAATTGATGGGACCAGATGCCATAATCTTAGTTTTCTGAATGTTGAGCTTTAAGCCAACTTTTTGACTCTCCTCTTTCACTTTCATCCAGAGGCTCTTTAGTTCCTCTTCACTTTCTGCCATAAGGTGGTGTCATCTGCATATCTGAGGTTATTGATATTTCTCCTGGCAATCTTGATTCCAGCTTGTGCTTCCTCCAGCCCAGCGTGTCTCATGATGTACTTTGCATGTAAGTTAAATAAGCAGGGTGACAATATACAGCCTTGACAGACTCCTTTCCCTATTTGGAACCAGCCTGCTGTTCCATGTGTTCCCTTATAGTTTCTCAATAGGAACATTGACTATAGTAGTGGCAGAGTGAGTCTCTGCCCTCGGTTGTTTTTGTAAAACACACACAAAACCATTTTTTTAAACTTTGTTTTATATTGAAATACAGCTGATTAACAATGTTGTGATAGTCGAGGTGCACAGCAAAGTGACTCAGCCATACATATACTTGTATCTATTCTCCCCCAAACTCCCCTCCCATTCAGCCTGCCACATGTTTAGCAGAATTCCCAGTGATATATGGTGGGTCCTTGTTGGTTATCCATTTTAAATATATGGATTTAAACTGTGTACATGTCAAAAAAGCCAATTTTTAATAAAAGTTATTAACCTGGGAAATAAGCTTAATCCAATAATGTTTTGAGAGGAAAACATTCTTCATAAAAATATACCACCATTTTCTAAAAACATGAGAATTAAGTGAAGATTTTATCAGAAATAGTTATTCCAAATAAACACTGAAGTTTTAATAAGAGAAATGATGGCATTTTATCTTACAATCTGTGACAGTTCCTTCTTTTGTAAGAAGTACATGTGTTCTCTAATCAAAACATGTCAGAAAAATCATCTTACTTAGAAAGCTTTCTCATACTAATGTAATTTTTTAAATCGAACGTTAAGTTTACCAAAGCAGACTGTTTAAATTACAGAAGTACTTATCCTCTTAAAAACTGCTTCCCCTACATGGTACTGTGCTGTGCTTAGTCACTCAGTTGTGTCCAACTCTTTGCAACCCCATGGACTATACCCTGCCAGACTCCTCTGTCCATGGGATTCTCCAGGCAAGAATACTGGAGTGGGTTGCCATGCCCTCCTCCAGGGGATTTTCCCAACACAGGGATCCAGCCCAAGTCTCCCTCATTGCAGGCAAATTTTTTACCATCTGCGCCACCAGGGAAGCCCAAGAATACTGGAGTGAGTAGCCTATCCCTTCTCGAGGATAACTTTTGGACTCAGAAATTGAACCAGGGTTTTCCTGCATTGCAGGCAGATTTTTTACCAACTGAGCTACCAGGGAAGCCCCCCCTACCCCTACATGATAGGGAGATGTAATAATAAAATGTAAAAGAGAGAAAAAATAAAATAATGAAAGGTACTAAGAATATAATGCCAGGCAGGCAAAGCTGGTTTTTATTGAGCTGGTGACCTGAAAATCCAAATGGTCACTTTCTCCTTTCTGCAAGAGAAGTTCTGGTTCATGTGCTCTTTCAGAGTTGTCAGGGCCCACACTTATTCAGTCATGGACTTAACACACTTGTACTCACTTTAAAGTGAGTTTTGCTGAACTTTCATGTGTTATGGGTCCACTGGCATTCTGTGCTCATGGGGTACCACATATGTTACATGGAATGAGATGTCAAGGAATGATAAACATGTGTATTGCACTGGCCCTTGTCTGCAGAGATAAATCTTCCAAGGTATTGGGGACATAACTGGTAGATAAAAAGGAAGAGAGTGAGGGAATACAGAAGACATACATACCCATACAGAGACTATTTTTGTATGTGATGTTAGGAGGTGTTCTAATTTCATTCTTTCACATGTAGCTGTCCAGTTTTCCCATCACCACTTATTGAAGAAGCTGTCTTCTCCTTTGTATATTCTTGTGTCTTATGTCAAAGATAAGGTGCACAAAGATGCATAGGTTTATATGTGGGCTTTCTATATTGCTCCATCTGTATTTCTGTTTTTGTTCCAGTACCATACTGTCTTGATGACTGTAGCTTTGTAGTATAGTCTGAAGTCAGGAAGGTTGATTCCTCCAGCTCCATTTTTCTTTCTTAAGATTGCTTTGGCTGTTCAGGGTATTTTGTGTTTCCATTACAAATACTGATCAAGGTGACATAACTGAGAAGTCAAATTTTCAGGGAAACAAAAAAATAGAGTATATAATGCCCCAAGCAAAAGGAACGAAGGAATGGAAGGGGTTGTAAGTTGCACCATTTTCCCAAACCACCCGCCAGGTTGGCTTCTGTCTTAGTAAGCAGTTAATGAACCGTAGGTGAGTGAATTTCATGTGACTTGGTGGGTATAGGCAGTAGAAAATTTTTTTATCATGGTGGGCATGATATCAGAGAACCTGAAAGCTAGATAGAGTGTGATTGCAAAGATAAGGCTTTTTCTCATGTTTCACTCTGAGATATTTCAATCTTCCAGCAATTCTGATATATTACTAAGACCTCATTCTGGGAAATGACTCCTTCCTTAATGTCAGTGAATCAGTAGCTTTGATTTTTTTTTTTTCCCCAAATATCTGGACCCACAGCAAAGCTAAATTTCAAATGGCACTTTACATAGGCTGCCCTTATGATAGTCCAATTTTAGAGACATTCTTAACATTTATAAAACAGTGCTTTAGGTTAAAGATGATAGATTTAATTTCCATTGCTTATAAAATATTAATGCATGTTTCAAAAGACTCTGCTTTATTTCTCAAAGTTAGAAACCAGAGTATCTAACTTACAGATTGCTTTATAAGGTAATATTTTTTTAATGGACACTAAAGTTAACTTATATGCAGAGTACATTATGAGAAATGCTGGGCTGGAAGTGGCACAAGCTGGAATCAAGATTGCTGTGAGAAATATCAATAACCTCAGATATGCAGATGACACCACCCTTATGGCAGAAAGTGAAGAGGAACTAAAAAGTCTCTTGATGAAAGTGAAAGAGGAGAGTGAAAAAGTTGGCTTAAAACTTAACATTCAGAAAACTAGGATCATGGCATCTGGTCCCATCACCTCATGGGAAATAGATGGGGAGACAGTGGAAACAGTGGCTGACTTTATTTTTGGGGGCTCCAAAATCACTGCAGATGGTGACTGCAGCCATGAAATTAAAAGACACTCCTTGGAAGGAAAGTTATGACCAATCTAGACAGCATATTAAAAAGCAGGGACATTACTTTGCCAACAAAGGTCCATCTAGTCAAGGCTATGGTTTTTCCAGTGGTCATATATGGATGTGAGAGTTGGACTGTGAAGAAAGCTGAGTGCTGAAGAAGTGATGCTTTTGAACTGTGGTGTTGGAGAAGATTCTTGAGAGTCCCTTGGACTGCAAGGAGATCCAACCAGTCCATCCTGAAGGAGATCAGTCCTGGGTGTTCATTGGAAGGACTTATGTTGAAGCTGAAACTCCCAATACTTTGGCCACCTCATGCGAAGAGTTGACTCGTTGGAAAAGACCCTGATGCTGGGAGGGATTGAGGGCAGGAGGAGAAGGGGACGACAGAGGATGAGATGGTTGGACGGCATCATCGACTCGATGGACATGGGTTTGGGTGGACTCTGGGAGTTTGTGATGGACAGGGAGGCCTGGCGTGCTGCGATTCATGGGGTCGCAAAGAGTCGGACACGACTGAGCAACTGAACTGAACTGAACTGAAAGTTAATAGTGAATAAAGTTGGCATGATGTTATATTTTTGCGGGGTTTTTTGGTTTTTGCATTTGGGGACAGGTAGGAAGACAGAATTTCAAGGTGGACATTTTGGAATCCAGTTGCACAAAGTACAACCTAATTTCTTTGTGGAAAGTCCAGATGCTGCTGATTTTGTCCCTCTAGGGCTATATGGTGCCTCCTGTCTGTATTTCTTACCTACTTTACTCTTCTCTTTGAACATTGGATTCCTTTAACCGTTACAGAACAAAAGGCTCTGTGTCATGTCTCTTTGATGCTCCAGTTTGATCCCTGTACCACAGTATTGTCAGTCCCAGTTTTCTGGGAGAGAAAATCTGATTGGTCAGCCACGGATAAGTGGTCCCTACCTGGTTGGTCCAGGCAGCTGATGCTGAGTGTTAGGGATTCCAGTATTTGGGGCAGAGCAGATTCTCCCAGTGCAAGCAGGGGTAGGGAAAAGTTATTTCTTAGTACATTAAAGCACGTGTGTGGTTTGAGCACTTGCATAAAAGCTATTGATCTCTGTTCTGAGTAATAAACAGGTTTCGTAGAATAGCTTAGGGCAAGGTGCTCACTCACATCACTGAGGCCTTTATCACTATCATAAACTGGCCGTGAAAGTTATGGTTTGTTAGTTAGGGCGATGATTTGTGTTCTGAACCCAGACGTGTTTGGCCACATGCTTTCACTCCTGTTTATCTTATGTTGTTGAATTTTCTTTATTGCAGTTAGAAGCCCAACTTCTCTTGGGAGCAAGGATAAAGACCTGATCTTGTTTGAAGCACATCTTTATGGGAGATGCTAAGAATCTGATTTTTTCTCTTGCCAAAGCCCTCCCTCCACCGCCTCCTTTAAAATTCTCTATAAATAGGGCCTCAAGGTCAAAAACATAATCTGAGCAGTAACTATCAGCAAGGAATTATGTGGAAATAACAAGTTTTACAGAGAAAATTAGAAAAATTGATTTCGTAGAAACAAGGGAAAGAGAATTTGCCTTCACAGCCCCAACACCTCAAACTCTATTAAAGTGTGAATATGGCACTTCTGGGCCTTTAGCCTGGATGTCTAATTCTAGGCTAGTGTGAATTTTTCTAGCTCAATTAGAAAGGTTTGAGAGATTTCTAAAAGTGTTTTTAAATGATAATATGTTACATAAATATTCATGATTATGCAGTCCTCTGATATTTGGACCATTTAGAACTTTCTTTCCATTAAATAATGACTTTTTTTTTTTTTTTTTGGCTACAGGTGCCATCCATTAGCTAGTGACCAGTGACATCCATTATGCACGGCCATGAATATTTATCTAGTGCCTTATGCCTGTACCAGAGAGGATAGGAAAAGAGGAGTTACAAAGAAGCTTTTCCCCCACACCAGATGACCAGCTCAGCTGAAGAAACCAAGTGGACCCATCTTCAGGTAAGCCTTCATGAAGGTAAAAGATGCATGCTCAGTTGTGTCCAACTCTCTGAGACCCCATGGACTGAAACCCACCAGGCTCCAGTGTCCATGGGATTTCCCAGGGAAGAAGACTGGAGTGGGTTGTTATTTCCTCCTACAGGGGATCTTTCTGACCCAGGGATCGAACCTGGGTCACTTGCATTTCCTGCATTGGCAGGCGGGTTCTTTACCCCGGCACCACCTGGGAAACACAGGTAAACCTTCACCCATTAATATAATGCTGGGTGAGGGTTAGTTTAACTGTTGAAAGAAAGCACGTGACAGACTCTAATGCTAGTGGAATAAAGGAGTAGTCTGCCAGAGTCTATTAATACATCTCTTTATCTGGAAGGCCTTAAGACAAGGTCAATTCAAAATTTTTCTCAGTGTCTGTGGGACTTAAGAGTTACTCACAGGCAGCCTTCTGAAGGATTGTCTGTCTCCGTTTTTACCAGCACTAGCTTTCCCTTCCTTTCCAAAACCAGCTGGTCATACGCAGATGACACCACAGTCATCACTCTGAATGGATGGGAGAGAGTTGGGACAGACAGTGAGTAGCCAGCCATGTGTCATTTATCCGCAGACATTACTGACACCCTACTCTTATCACGCTAGACCTGGCCCCTTTCTTCACTTCCAGTAACTTATTTCTACCATCCTTTTGAGCATTTCTCTTTGGATATCCCACCGTCAACTCAGACTCAATCACTAGCTGCCCCACAGCAGCTTGCCTTTCTGATTTTCTGCCCTTGTTAATGACATCATTAAGCCTCAGAACCTCTGAGTCACTGTGACTTTTCCCCACTTTGCCAACCCTATCAACCCAATGGCCAAGTCCTCTTGCAATATATTTTTGATTTGTACTTTTCTGTCCATTTCAAAACTAACAACATTATTTAAAGTTTCAAATACCTCGAATCTTGCTAGGGCTTCTTCATTTCCTTGCTTTCACGTCCACTCCCTTCAGACACATCAGACTAAAATGTCCTGAACTCTGATTTTGTCTTATCACTGTTTTGTTTTGTTTTTTTTTTTTTTGTCTGAACTGGGTGGTTTGTGGATTCTTAGTTCCCAAACCAGGGATGGAACCTCGCCCCCTGCGGTGAAAGCTCAGAGTCCTAACCACTGGACTGCCATGGAATTCCTGGCTTACCACTGTGTAATGGCAGTTGATGAATTCTGCAGGATTTATTAGCGGGGGCAGTGGAGAGTTACGTTTGAGTTTCCCTGAAGTCACCTGAAGATGCCCGGAAAGTGGTGGCTCTGTATGGTCTTCAGTAGTCACAGTTTTGAGGAACAATGTAATAGACATCTGAATCTTCCTAGCATTGTAAATTATTAGTGTTTTGTTATTCACATATCTCTACTTTAACTGTAATTAGTTTTGTGTATGGTATGAGATAGTAATCAAGTTCGTTTTTTCCCTATATGGATACCTGATTTTTCCATTATCATGATTATTACAAATACTGTTCTTTTCCCATCTTTCCCAGTTCCTTCTCATAAACCAAACACCCCTATACCTGTAGCCTTTTTTTTTTCTGTATTTTATAAGCTATCTCTTTATTCCCTTGATCTATTCTTTTAGCCTTGCTTCAGCAACACACTCTCTCTTTTTTTAGAAATATGTGTTATTTGTTTCTTTATTTGGCTGTGCTGGGTTTTAGCTGTGGCCTGTGGGATCTTCAGTCTGTGGCAGCATGCCGGATCTTTAGTTATTGTCTGTGGGACCTGATCCCCTGATCAGGATAGAACCCAGGCCCTCTGCCCTGGGAGCGAGAACACACTCTCTTAAACAGCTTTATAATAAGACTTAGTAGTCAGTAAAAATAAGTCCTCCTGCAATGTTCTTCTTCATCAAGAATGTTTTAACTAAGACCCCTTTGCATTTCCATATAACTTTTTGAAACAACTTGTCAAGTTTCATTTTAAAAAATCCTTTTGGTATTTTGACTGAGCTTGCATTGCAGTGGGGGAACATTGATATTGTCAACACTGAGTTTTTCAGTTCTTAAACGCAATGTGTTTTTCTAATAATATTGAGTTTAATTTTAAACAATAATGTTCTATAGTTTTCTGTGTAGACATTTTGAAAAATTTTTGCTAGATATATCCCTATGTATTGATATTTTTGATGTTATTATGAATGCTATCTTTCTTAGTAATTTCATGTCTAATTGTTGCTAGTGTATAGAAAGGCAATAAAAGTATTCTGATAGATTACCCACTGTTTCAGACAATTAAATCATCTATAAAAAGTAGATTATTTTATTTGCTTATTTACAATCCCTAATCCATTTTCTTTCCCTATTTTTTCTTTTTTGCATTGGTTGGGATCTCCAGTACAGTGTTGAACTTATGTCCAAAGTCAAGGTGATAACTTTCAATATTATAACTTTGCATATAAATATTCTCTTAGATAACTTTTATAAATGCTTTGTCAGATTCAAGAATTTTCTATTCCTATTACCCATGATTTTTTTAAGATCATTAGTGACTGTAGGATTTTACTATATTCTTTTTCTGAATTTTTTGAGATGATCAGCTTTTGAGTACTTCTTTTAATGTGGTGAATTAAATTAATTTTTAAATGTTAAACCAACTCTGTATCCCCAGAATAAAACCAATTTGATCATAATACAGTATTATTTTTTCATATACTATTTACTTTGACAATATTTGTTAAAAATTTATATATCTTTATGAGAGAAATTTGCCTGTAATTTTCCATTCTAGTTATGACTTGTCAGGTTTTATTGTCAAAGCTAGCCTAATTCCTCCATATTTGGAAGAGTTCATTGTGAAATCATTAAGATCTGGTGATTTTTCACCTGTTTTCTTGAAAATATTTATTATGGATTACTAATGCATGGGTTCAATATCTGAATCATCTGTGGGTCTGTTTATATTCCCTTTTTTCTCTGTTTTTAGTCACAGGTCTTGTTAGCATATCTATTAATTCTTAATAGAATTAATAGAATTTTAAATATTTTTACTGGAAAAAATCACACAAATTCAGCCTTTTTCATCTCAGTACATTGTTCAATGCTTTTAAAGCACAAAATGAATTCTGCTTCGGAAATATGCATGGGCCTGAAGCATCAAAGATTTAGATAAACAGATGAGAATCTCAGTAAAAATTAAAATGGAATGAGTTAGTATAAAGACAGAGCGTATCTATTATACATTTGAAAAGTAAAATACCCATAAAATTGAAATCTGTACTAGTAAAATAAAATAATTCTCAAACTGATCCACCACAAATTTCTGAATTGGTTCTGTTACAAAAAGAATGGGGTGAAATTAGCAAACTTTCCTTAAGCTTTTAAAATCTAAATAGAACAGAAATCCCCACCTTAAAAATGTATTTATTTTCTCTACTTTATGGTGAGTCAAACAGTTCTGTTAGGAACTCATTATGAAATGTTTCCAATAAATACAAAATTTAAAAAACCTCTTTCATGAAAATCCTTAAGACAAAAGTATAGTTCAAAAGTAGTTATTTTGTCCCCCACAGGCCCCATAGGATTTAGTTCACTTTTATAGGACATAGTTTTTATGTTTATCGAAATGTCCAGCTATTTTCAATTGTATTTGACATGCATTTAATTTCTGTATGTGTTGGAGAAGATGGAGGACTCTATTTCAGACCAGACAATTTGTTTTGATGCCACTAATGACCTTAAATTGTAAATTGACTGTTACTTTTTGTATAACGTTCATACAATGTAATTATAATATGCTGTACACAAACTGAAATACAATAGGATGGCAATATAATGGTAGAAAGGGCCTGTACTCTTTTTGTCATGCCTTCCATTTCCAGAATCTCACATTATTGTATTTCTTAAAAACCCATTTTGCTGAAGAAATAAAGTTGATTTACCGAGGTGTAATTAGAAATTAATTTTTTTTCCAAAAACACCTTCGACAAGCAGACTTATTCCCTGCTTATTTGTTAGAAGTAGAAAACGTTTCAGCTTCCATGGCTTTTTCCTTCTTCAGATTTTTTTCTAGAAAATGTAAATGGAAGGTATTTGTAGAATGTAACAAAAATAAGTTTTTTAAACTAAAAATGTGATTTAAAAACAAGAAAGTTAGCACATTTAGTGTTAATGACAAGTATGGAACATGTAGAGTTGAGGAGAATGTATTTTTGCCCCCACTTATATAGTAGCATTAAAATAAAGGAATGGGACTACATTTTCATAGCAAATACCTAAACAAGTTGCAAATACCTAAACAGTTGTTTTACAATTTGTTTTTAAATGGCAGTAATAAATTCTCTATTTGTAAAAATTCCAGCTTATAACCAGAACCAAATCAAATGTGAACTACCAACTGTCCCAGAACTGTAGGGTCTCTGTGGCCCACAAAGGTAAAAATGAAGAAAGAACACTTTTGGGGGGGAGCGGGGAGGGAATGTGTGCAATCAATACATACAGGCTGCTTGACTCACCGCAGGACAAGCAAATCATGTTCTTTGGAAAATAAAAAAAATAAGCAAAAACAAATAACCTTACATTTTCAAGGCAGTTAGCCAGCATTCTTTTAGTGTTCCAAGTAAAACCAAAAAATGACGAAAGGAGCAAGGAAAGTATTGAATCATTCCTGGTTCCCTGTAACCAGTTTACCACTCTAGTCATAAATAGATATGGAGAGCTTTCCATGGAATTACCAGATATTAATTTTAAGAAATTTAATTTTATTCTGGTAGGCAGTTATAGCTGGTTAAGCTCTTCTGTTTTTGATCTGCTGTTACTTCTAGAGGTAGCCCCTTCAGGCTCTCATTCCTTCTGGACCTGGGCCATTGCTCCCTGGTGAAGTCAAAATCCCATCTTCCTGGAACCATCTAATCACTGTGTTCTTTGCTTAAAGGATTAGCCTTTAAGAAGCTGTTTTCTGTTTAGTTTCTCAGAGCCTCTCACCGTGTTTTCACTGGTTAAGGGGTCAGTAAATGCACTGAGGGCAGGATATCT